TCACTCCCGCTCTCTTTATCTTTCTCTCTCTCTTCTTGTCCCTTTCTCCCATTCCTCTTCCCCATTCTATGACACTCCTCACTCACTCTTTATATATTGCTCTTCTTCGTTTTCTCATCGTTCTCCCTTTCCTCTAAAGTTTCCTCTCGCCCATCGCTATTCTATATCTTCTCTCTCCCTCACTCCTATCGCTCTTCTCTCTTTCCTTTATCGCTCTTTTTCTCTCTTCCTTATCGCCTCCTCCCTCTCTCTCTCTCTCCCTCTCTCCCTCTCTCCCTCTCTCCCTCTCTCCCTCTCTCCCTCTCTCTCTCTCTCTCTCTCTCTCTCTCTCTCTCTCTCTCTCTCTCTCTCTCTCTCTCTCTCTCTCTCTCTCTCTCTCTCTCTCTCTCATCACCCTCTGCCTCTTTCTCCCTCTATCGCCTCCTCTTCTCCCTCCCCCATCATCTCTTTCATGACTCTCCCTCTCTCTGACCAGATCACCTTCCCTCTCTCAATCGTAACTGTCTTTTTTACCTCTCCCTCTCTATCTGAGAAAGGAAAAAAAAGGCCAATTACAAAAGGACTGAAAGATTCACCAAGTTAGTATGCTAATCCCCACAAGTTTTGCGATTTGAACAATGGCCCTGTCAGTCCCTAGCCATGAGTCCGTCGTTCCTCACTATCTCATCTGGAGACAACATGCTACACTTAAAAGTCAACCAAGGCAATGTGTCTGGATGCTACTTGGACTGTCACTGAAACTTAACACTATTTAGCACATGCAGTATACATGCTGGGAAGAACACTGCATGATTCTAATGATTTATCATTTACGGGACTGCCAATGCTTAAAATGGAGATTGTGTAGTCATCTGTATGTAACATTTAAATACTCAGCTACCACTAATGATTCTTTACGAAAATAGATTGATAACCTATCTTCAGGAACTCCCATGCAGTTCTGATTTGACAATAGGTTCTTGTAAAAGATGTGAGGACACCAACTTATGATCTGGCATGTACATAGTACCCATACCAATAGTATGGGTACTATGTACATGCCTGAGCTCCCTTTAAATACAGTATTTCACATAAAATAGAAAAAAAACTTGCATTGTCCTCAAAAATAAATATTCTAAATGCAGGCTTCTAAACCTAAATCTCCAAGTTTATGTCTGTCATTGTGTTCATCTAGCTATCACAACATCTAATGCTGTGATTCTTGTAAACCATTCACCATGTAACAAGTTGCAATCGTCATGATCAGAATCACTGATGCCTACACACAAAGCAGCAATCAGTCACACAGGTCACCACTAATCATATCAAGTTATTATCAAATGAGATGTATAATTAAGTGCAGCTTCAATGCACCACATCTCGGCCTCTGTTTACATGGACAATGATTAAATATCTGCCAAAACTACCTTAAAATCTCTCTATTAGGGCAAAGTATAATACAGCCTCACTTATTTATAGTACTTGATCTAAATACAGTTACAAAAGCAACTCATCTTATCAGTGCTTTAGAAACACATATACATTCATATGAATATATATATATATATATTGCAATATTAACACAAACATACACACAACATATAAATGTGCCAGCAAAATAACAATCACAAACAATAATTTGGGGCCTTAACATAAACTGGGTAGACTAAATAAGTCATGTGTACGTGTGATGTGTCTGAGCAAACATAGATCTTGAGTTACTAACACAGACCTATTAGATACATTATAAATAAAGTAAAATGATAAATAATCAAATACACTTTGCTCATAATTCAGAATAGAACTAAATGGAAACAGGAAAAACTAATCTAATGGCCATAATGAAGGTATTAAGTATCTTTTTATGTACAAAGTCTGTGGATCTGCACATCAAATGTATAACATTGTGGCCTCCATGCCTCACACTTGGGCAATGATCTACAAACCTCTACCAAGATAGAACTTGAATAAATATATATATAACATCATTATAAAAGAGTTATTTCGATTTCAGTGAATTCTTTCAAGGAACCATATCAATATGGAGCCACCTCATATAGAGATAAAATATATATAATCTCAATTACCTATCAGTTATCTACCTCTTTATATGTAACTACCTACCTATTTAGACCTATCTTTGTTTTTAATTCAGTTTCCAATGAAAAACAGGCAAAACATTACTAAATGCCATAAACAAACACAAATACAATCAAACTCACTTCAGTATACTAATACATGCTCCCATTCACCTTTGATTTTTCATCCCATCTAATATACACTATCACATTTCAGGTCCAAGAGATCTTTTGTTTGTTTCTCTATAAATTAATAATACACAATACTGCTATTTTTTAGCCTTTACCAAATCAAGGTGGTCAATGAGCCACTTTCATTTATTTATTCATTCATAAATTTGTCTACACACAAATGAACTCACTTGTTATCAGGATTGCACTAAAAGTTTGACAGATCTTGATTAATGGCTGGGATGCACATGGCCACAAAACCAACTGAATAAATATCAGTGTTGATTGGAGTAGAACAGTAGATGTTGGGGTAGACTAAGAGTAAATCAAGGATAGAATCACCATAGAATCACTTTCTCAGTACTTTCTATTTTACTTATGGTATATGCACTTTAAAACTAGATGTATAATTTAACCCAAAAAATCTCGGAATAAAATATGAATGAAAGAAAGCAGCAGCAATGTTAATCACCCAAAATAAATACTTAAGAAGCCAAATACTCAAGATATTTCTCCCTAATCTATCCAAACATGACTTTATTCATCTTAACATCCCGATGCTAAACTGATGACATCACAAAACATGATAAAGCTAATTCATAGACTGTGCATACTTTCCCAATTAAAAACAAATATATCAAAGTATCCAGTCTTTACTTGTTAAAAATTGCATGAATTTGTGGGTGTAGACTCAGTCATCTGAAGTGGCACATGTTTATTTGTGATAATATACTTTGTGTTAGGATTCCAGACTTTTCTCAATGTCAGCATCTGTTGCCTACCTTCCAAAAATAAACTTTGGATTTGCAATTACAGATCTCCCATTCTATCATCAACACAACAGAATTAACTGCACACCCGTAATCTTAAAGCTGATTAACCAAATTAGAAATAACTAAACCCAGATACACATGTCTTAAATAAAACTGTCACAAAACAAGGATTTATGACTACTCCCTAAGATAAACCGACACCATCCACGTCTAATTCAATATCAAAATGATCAGGGTCCACAACACCAATGCCAGTAACGACCAGGACAAAAGGAAAAACATTGAAAACTGTTTAAACCACATGGCCACAAGGAAGCGCTTTTAGCCTTGTGAAAAACGACCTTCCAACACGTGTTCCCTGAAGAACCTCTCCGCTTGATAAGCAATCAAGTGCTCAGATGTCAGATAATGTCAGATAAGCTTTGAATTAAGTTATCTAATACCCAGTGCAAGAATAGGCCTACAAGCAAACACTTACTTATCTACAATGTATGCTTTACCACAGTTAACCCTTCTTTTCAATGAGACACTTAAAACAATAATGAAATCATTCAAGGGAGATAAATAACAATCCCAAATATTAACTCAAAAAATAACAATAAACAACCAACTCCTACCACTACCCCTATAGAACTAAAATGCCCTAAATCCTACAACTGATAACAAAAAAAGACTCCTACAAAAAACAAAACAAAAGACATTGCAAAACAATCACAAGAAACACATAACACTTGTTTAAAATACAAATTAATTTAAAAATTAAAATAGAAATACACCCACTGTTCCTCGAGTACTTTTTTTTAACATGAAAATAGGAATATAAAGAAAAAACAAAAGGAGTTCCAGGTGTCACATTTCTATTTTCGTTGTTTACTTCTCTGTTATTTTTTTGTTTGTTTTTTGTTTTTGTTTTCTGACATTTGACATAATATTTATATATATATCTTTTCAACAAACTCGTGTTTTCAACTATTTTTTTAATAAGTCAATCCGGCAAATGACGTAAAAATCCGACTAATCCAATAAAGCGAAAAGCTGTCATCACGTAGAAATAAAATTTTAAAATCTTTAAAAAAAGACGGGAAGAAAGAAGATAGAAAGAAACAGAAAAAAGTAAAAAAAAAACTAAAAAAAAAAACAGAAAAAAAATAATAATCACAGTTTTCTCTTTAAAAAAAAAAAAAATTCCCCGGTAACACCTACGTACATTCCTCCCTCCCTACAAATCACCCAAGCAAATGTAAAAAACAACCCAGAATAAGACGTTACTCAACCATTAACCGAAAATTAAAAAAAAAACTCACCTTCCTCTCGCGGAATTGTTGTCATTGGCCTCTCGAGCCTTGGGTGCCTGGGGCCTGCTGGGTTTCGCCTTTTTCGCCCGCTTCTTCTTGGCGATCGTCGCAACTGTAAATCAAATCGGGTATTTAGGACCTTCATGTATCCGAAAATCCACACGAAACCTCACGTTTATTAAAGAAAAATCACATAAAATGGACTTACTGCGGCGGTTGATGTCGGGTCGGGAACTCATCTTCACTCGGGCCACACGCACTGGTTCCTCTTCTCGCCAACAGATGGCTCTGAGCTCGCACGGGGGAAGAAAAGTGAAGGGCGAGATGCGCAACAGACTCTCCTCCTCGTTTTTATGCTATTTATCTATGATGGTTGCGTTGATTATATATGCTGTCGTTTCTTTTGGTTCGATTTTTAATTATTTTTCGTCCTCTTACCCCTTTTTTGGTTTAATATTCTTCCAAACGTTTTTTTTTTAAATGGTGACCGTTTTCAACCCAGCAACGTGAAAATAATCAACCCACGTTAATTGAAAATTCGAACATCTTTTTCAAGCCCCTTAAAAAAATTAAAAAATACAACACGCCGTAAATCCTAATTACACCCAAGAGTCCCCACGAACCAGGAAATAAAGGCTGAAAGGAGAAAATAAAGCGGCGTGAGAGGAAGGCTGGATCAGCTGTTCCACCACAACAGAGGCGGC